GGGACCCATGGGTTGGCCACCTTCGTGGGGACACCCATGGGTGGGCACTTTCTGGGGGTGGGTGTCGGCCATGGGGCACCCATGGGTGGCCTCTCCTTAGGGTGGGCATTGGCCATGGGGCACCCATGGGTGGGCATTTCCTCAGGGTGGGCGTTGGCCATGGGGCACCCATGGGTGGCCTCTCCTTGGCGTTGGCATCTGCTTGAGGGCACCCATGGGTTGGCCGCTTTCTTGGGGACACCCATGAGCGGACACCTTCTTGAGAGCACCCATGGGTCGGTCATCTGCTTGGGGGCACCTATGGGTGGTCACCCTCCTTGGGGACATCCCCTGAGATGGGCATCTCCTTAGGGTGGGCATTAGTCTTAGGGCACCCATGGGTGGGCACCTCCTTGAGGGCACCCATGGGTTGGCCGCCTTAGTGGGGACACCCATGAGCGGGCACTTTCTGGGGGTGGGTGTCGGCCATGGGGCACCCATGGGTGGCTTCTCTTGGGGTTGGCATCTCCTTGAGGGCACCCATGGGTTGGCCGCCTTCGTGGGGACACCCATGAGCGGGCACTTTCTGGGGGTGGGTGTCGGCCATGGGGCACCCATGGGTGGCTTCTCTTGGGGTTGGCATCTCCTTGAGGGCACCCATGGGTTGGCCACCTTCGTGGGGACACCCATGGGTGGGCACTTTCTGGGGGTGGGTGTCGGCCATGGGGCACCCATGGGTGGCTTCTCTTGGGGTTGGCATCTGCTTGAGGGCACCCATGGGTTGGTCATCTGCTTGGGGGGCACCTATGGGTGGTCACCCCCCCCTTGGGGCCATGCTCTTTGGGGACACCCATGGATGGGCATCTCCTTGGGGTGGGCGTTGGCCATAGGGCACCCATGGGTGGGCACCTCCTTGAGGGCACCCATGGGTTGGCCACCTTCTTGGGGACACCCATGGCTGGGCGTCTCGGTGGGGTTTGCGTTGGCCATCGATCACCCATGGGTGGCCGTTTCCTTGAGGAACCCAGCGGTTGGCCGCCTTCTCGGGGGCACCCGTGGGTGGGTGTCCAACCACGGGGCACCCGTGGGTGGCTTTAGGGTCCCCGGTGGGGTCCCCGGAGCAGGGTGACACGGCCGGGTGACCCGTCGGGTTGTCCCCAGCGCAACAGCCGCTACGACGGGCAGATCGCGGTGTTCGGGGCGGAGCTGCAGGCCAAGCTGGGCGCCCAGAAGTACTTCGTGGTCAGTGTCCCCACGCGTCCCCGAGTGTCCCCGAGCGTCCCCGCGGCTCTGCCAAATGTCCTCCCCTCTCCTCTGCGTGTCCCCGAGCCTCCGTGGCCACCTCGCGCTGCGTCCCCGAGCGTCCCCTCCCTCTTCCCAAGCGTCCCCGCGTGTCAATCGAGTGTCCCCAGGTGTCTTTGTGGGTCTCCTGAGCGTCCCCGCGTGTCCCCGCGGCTCTGCCAAATGTCCTCCCCTCTCCTCTGCGTGTCCCCGAGCCTCCGTGGCCACCTCGCGCTGCGTCCCCGAGCGTCCCCTCCCTCTTCCCAAGCGTCCCCGCGTGTCAATCGAGTGTCCCCAGGTGTCTTTGTGGGTCTCCTGAGCGTCCCCGCGTGTCCCCGCGGCTCTGCCAAATGTCCTCCCCTCTCCTCTGCGTGTCCCCGAGCCTCCGTGGCCACCTCGCGCTGCGTCCCCGAGCGTCCCCTCCCTCTTCCCAAGCGTCCCCGCGTGTCAATCGAGTGTCCCCAGGTGTCTTTGTGGGTCTCCTGAGCGTCCCCGCGTGTCCCCGCGGCTCTGCCAAATGTCCTCCCCTCTCCTCTGCGTGTCCCCGAGCCTCCGTGGCCACCTCGCGCTGCGTCCCCGAGCGTCCCCTCCCTCTTCCCAAGCGTCCCCGCGTGTCAATCGAGTGTCCCCAGGTGTCTTTGTGGGTCTCCTGAGCGTCCCCGCGTGTCCCCGCGGCTCTGCCAAATGTCCTCCCCTCTCCTCTGCGTGTCCCCGAGCCTCCGTGGCCACCTCGCGCTGCGTCCCCGAGCGTCCCCTCCCTCTTCCCAAGCGTCCCCGCGTGTCAATCGAGTGTCCCCAGGTGTCTTTGTGGGTCTCCTGAGCGTCCCCGCGTGTCCCCGCGGCTCTGCCAAATGTCCTCCCCTCTCCTCTGCGTGTCCCCGAGCCTCCGTGGCCACCTCGCGCTGCGTCCCCGAGCGTCCCCTCCCTCTTCCCAAGCGTCCCCGCGTGTCAATCGAGTGTCCCCAGGTGTCTTTGTGGGTCTCCTGAGCGTCCCCGCGTGTCCCCGCGGCTCTGCCAAATGTCCTCCCCTCTCCTCTGCGTGTCCCCGAGCCTCCGTGGCCACCTCGCGCTGCGTCCCCGAGCGTCCCCTCCCTCTTCCCAAGCGTCCCCGCGTGTCAATCGAGTGTCCCCAGGTGTCTTTGTGGGTCTCCTGAGCGTCCCCGCGTGTCCCCGCGGCTCTGCCAAATGTCCTCCCCTCTCCTCTGCGTGTCCCCGAGCCTCCGTGGCCACCTCGCGCTGCGTCCCCGAGCGTCCCCTCCCTCTTCCCAAGCGTCCCCGCGTGTCAATCGAGTGTCCCCAGGTGTCTTTGTGGGTCTCCTGAGCGTCCCCGCGTGTCCCCGCGGCTCTGCCAAATGTCCTCCCCTCTCCTCTGCGTGTCCCCGAGCCTCCGTGGCCACCTCGCGCTGCGTCCCCGAGCGTCCCCTCCCTCTTCCCAAGCGTCCCCGCGTGTCAATCGAGTGTCCCCAGGTGTCTTTGTGGGTCTCCTGAGCGTCCCCGCGTGTCCCCGCGGCTCTGCCAAATGTCCTCCCCTCTCCTCTGCGTGTCCCCGAGCCTCCGTGGCCACCTCGCGCTGCGTCCCCGAGCGTCCCCTCCCTCTTCCCAAGCGTCCCCGCGTGTCAATCGAGTGTCCCCAGGTGTCTTTGTGGGTCTCCTGAGCGTCCCCGCGTGTCCCCGCGGCTCTGCCAAATGTCCTCCCCTCTCCTCTGCGTGTCCCCGAGCCTCCGTGGCCACCTCGCGCTGCGTCCCCGAGCGTCCCCTCCCTCTTCCCAAGCGTCCCCGCGTGTCAATCGAGTGTCCCCAGGTGTCTTTGTGGGTCTCCTGAGCGTCCCCGCGTGTCCCCGCGGCTCTGCCAAATGTCCTCCCCTCTCCTCTGCGTGTCCCCGAGCCTCCGTGGCCACCTCGCGCTGCGTCCCCGAGCGTCCCCTCCCTCTTCCCAAGCGTCCCCGCGTGTCAATCGAGTGTCCCCAGGTGTCTTTGTGGGTCTCCTGAGCGTCCCCGCGTGTCCCCGCGGCTCTGCCAAATGTCCTCCCCTCTCCTCTGCGTGTCCCCGAGCCTCCGTGGCCACCTCGCGCTGCGTCCCCGAGCGTCCCCTCCCTCTTCCCAAGCGTCCCCGCGTGTCAATCGAGTGTCCCCAGGTGTCTTTGTGGGTCTCCTGAGCGTCCCCGCGTGTCCCCGCGGCTCTGCCAAATGTCCTCCCCTCTCCTCTGCGTGTCCCCGAGCCTCCGTGGCCACCTCGCGCTGCGTCCCCGAGCGTCCCCTCCCTCTTCCCAAGCGTCCCCGCGTGTCAATCGAGTGTCCCCAGGTGTCTTTGTGGGTCTCCTGAGCGTCCCCGCGTGTCCCCGCGGCTCTGCCAAATGTCCTCCCCTCTCCTCTGCGTGTCCCCGAGCCTCCGTGGCCACCTCGCGCTGCGTCCCCGAGCGTCCCCTCCCTCTTCCCAAGCGTCCCCGCGTGTCAATCGAGTGTCCCCAGGTGTCTTTGTGGGTCTCCTGAGCGTCCCCGCGTGTCCCCGCGGCTCTGCCAAATGTCCTCCCCTCTCCTCTGCGTGTCCCCGAGCCTCCGTGGCCACCTCGCGCTGCGTCCCCGAGCGTCCCCTCCCTCTTCCCAAGCGTCCCCGCGTGTCAATCGAGTGTCCCCAGGTGTCTTTGTGGGTCTCCTGAGCGTCCCCGCGTGTCCCCGCGGCTCTGCCAAATGTCCTCCCCTCTCCTCTGCGTGTCCCCGAGCCTCCGTGGCCACCTCGCGCTGCGTCCCCGAGCGTCCCCTCCCTCTTCCCAAGCGTCCCCGCGTGTCAATCGAGTGTCCCCAGGTGTCTTTGTGGGTCTCCTGAGCGTCCCCGCGTGTCCCCGCGGCTCTGCCAAATGTCCTCCCCTCTCCTCTGCGTGTCCCCGAGCCTCCGTGGCCACCTCGCGCTGCGTCCCCGAGCGTCCCCTCCCTCTTCCCAAGCGTCCCCGCGTGTCAATCGAGTGTCCCCAGGTGTCTTTGTGGGTCTCCTGAGCGTCCCCGCGTGTCCCCGCGGCTCTGCCAAATGTCCTCCCCTCTCCTCTGCGTGTCCCCGAGCCTCCGTGGCCACCTCGCGCTGCGTCCCCGAGCGTCCCCTCCCTCTTCCCAAGCGTCCCCGCGTGTCAATCGAGTGTCCCCAGGTGTCTTTGTGGGTCTCCTGAGCGTCCCCGCGTGTCCCCGCGGCTCTGCCAAATGTCCTCCCCTCTCCTCTGCGTGTCCCCGAGCCTCCGTGGCCACCTCGCGCTGCGTCCCCGAGCGTCCCCTCCCTCTTCCCAAGCGTCCCCGCGTGTCAATCGAGTGTCCCCAGGTGTCTTTGTGGGTCTCCTGAGCGTCCCCGCGTGTCCCCGCGGCTCTGCCAAATGTCCTCCCCTCTCCTCTGCGTGTCCCCAAGCCTCCATGGCCACCTCGCGCTGCGTCCCCGAGCGTCCCCTCCCTCTTCCCAAGCGTCCCCGCGTGTCCATCGAGTGTCCCCAGGTGTCTTTGTGGGTCTCCTCTGTGTCCCCGCGTGTCTCCTCTGCGTCCCCAAGTGTCTCCTCTGTGTCCCCAAGTCTCCTGACGGGTCTCCTGCGTGTCCCTGCGTA